TCTCCATCGTTCTCCCCTTCCTCTTTTGCAGGGCACACACCAAGTCCAATGGCGGGCACATGTACGCCCACGAAGGATTGTCCGCCCGTGTAGGTTTGTCCGCCTGTCTAAGCCCGCCGCCCCCCGCAATGAGAAAAAAAACCCAAAGGGGGTGGTATCGAAGACAAAAAGGGTGGGTATCGAGGGTGTGGGGAACTTGTTTTGAATGACACGCGGGCAAGTAAGAGCGAACAGTCTTGGAATGATTGTTGTTGTTGCTGTTGTTGCTGTAACTCGGGGGCCAGGAGGCCAGTTTGGTGACCCCTGACTTTCCAATGGAAAATCACGGTGCACGCCCCGGCAGGGACACTTGCCTTAAAAAACACACAATGGTTACCGAAGGGGGGGGTCAACAGTAGATATGCTTTAGAAATGAAAATTCAACCATCAGTTTCGAACTGTTCGCGAATGCCTCACGTGACATTCAACACGTAAATCCCAAACCCTCGGTACCAGCCCTCTTCGTCCTCGATCGTACCCACATTGCGAGTGTAACTTCCCTACCTGCCGCATGTAGCTGGCGCAGCCCACACGACAGGGGAAGGAAAGGAGGAGTGAAGAGACAAGGGGGAGGAAGAACGATGGAGCACGAGAGAGATTTGCAGGAGGAGGACTGGGAGCAGGAGCACAAACGGCAGAACGAGACGGGCGTGTCGGGCGGGCGGACCCTAACAGGCAGGTGGGGCGGGCGGACCCAGACGGCCAAGTCGAGCGGGCGAGGCGCCAAAGCGTCAACCTATCATGAAGGAAGTGTCGAGCGATAGCGCGATTTCCAACTAAACCTTTAGGAAACCCAGCGAGAGCGTGATTCGTGAGTCTTGGGGGCACGGCGCCGCAATAAGTTGCGATAAAGTCCCACGCTCGGGCGCGATTGGATAAATTCTGAGGGGGTTCTGCGCGAGAGCGCGGTTTTGAAATAAACTATGAGGAAATACCAGGCGGGAGCCGCTGTTGTTATGAACCAGGAAACCAGTATGGTGGCCCTTGATTTTCCATTAAAAGCCGCGTGCGAGCCCCAGGAGGAGCACTTCAATTGAAAAACAGAATAGTCACTGAAGGGAAGGATCATATTTCTCTACAAATGAAACTTCAACCCGAACGACAACAACAGCAACAACAACAACGACGACGACAACAACAACAGAAACAATAATAATAACAACAACAACAACAATCACAACAAAAGCAACCACAACAATACTTTCAAGACTGATCGCTCTTATCTGCTCGCGTGCAATTCAACACGTATATCCCAAGCCCTCGATACCCGCCCTCTTCGTCTCCAGTCGTACCCCCTGACGGGTACATCTCTCTAACCTGAAGCGTGCATTTCGTGTAGCCCATAAGGCAGGGGAAGAGACGACGAATGGAAGGAAGGAACGAGGGGGAGGGAGGAGGATGGAGCACGAGCGAGAATAGCAGGACAGGGGCCAGGAGCAGAAAATACATGGCAGAACCAGACGGGCGTGTCGGGCGGGCAGACCCTAACGGGCGTTCGGGAAGGCGGGCCCAGGCGGCCAGGTCGAGCAGGCGGCTTGCTGAAGCGTGCGTCCTGCATGAATCGCGAAGAAGACCCAAGCGATAGCGCGATTCCCAAATAAATCGTGAGGGGAAACCCACAGCGAGGGCGTGATTCGTGATTGTCGAGGGCGCGGCGTCTGAATAAATTGCGGGAGTGTCCCACGCGAGAGCACGATGCTGTATAAATTGTGAAGAAATCCCGCGCGAGAGCGCGACTTGAGAATAATTTGCAAGGCGGTATCACGCGGGAGCCGCTGTTGTTGTAAACCGGGAGCCAAGGGCGCAGTTTGGTGACACCTCACTTTTCTTGTAAAGAACAACGTGCAAGCCCCGGGAGAAGCACCTTCATTTAAAAAATACAACGGTTGCCGGAGAGGGGATCAACCACACATATCTCTTACACATGAAGACTCAGGCACAACAATAACAGCAGCAGCAACAACAACAACAACAACGACAACAACAAAAACAACAACAACACTCATTTTAGCCTCATGAGCGATGATTCCACACGAAGCATGCAACCATCCTGATAATCATCCCCATCATGGGGGACTATTGTTCTTTAGCGGGGTCGGTTATTCCCATTCCCAGATCTCCCGCCCAATGAGGTCTTACAAACACCTCCTCCGAGGAATTTCAACATATCCCGTCTCGAAAACGCATGCCCGCGCCTTGCTGCGCCGATGCGAGACCGCCAGTGAAGCCCCAGCGAAGGGTAAAGGACAATGAAGCCTCGAGCGACAAGATTGCCTTGGTGGGGATGGGGGCTGTCGGCGGCGAGGCAAGGACCTGGCCCTGAATAGAAAGGGAGGAAACCTCGAGCAAGGCCGCTTGTTGTTGCTGGGAGCGGCGGCGCCAATGCTAGAGAGAGTAGGGCGCTAGTCCAGCGTAGAACAAAACGAAGTCTCGAGCGGGAACGCTGGTTTTGTCGGGACGGGGGCTGTCGGCGGCGAGGAACAGCACCGTCCTGAGGAAAAAAAAAAGGAAGCCTCGAGCGGGAGCGTTGTTCTTGCTGGCGGCGCCGCCAATTCAAAAGAGAATGTCCAGCGTAAAACGGGAGGAAGTCTCGGGCGAGAGCGCCGGTTTTGTCGGGACGGGGGCTGTCGGCGGCGAGGAACAGCACCGCCTTGAGTAAAAAAGGAAGGAAGTCTCGAACGGGCGCGTTGTTGCTGCTGGGGGCGGCGCCGATGAGAGAAAGAGTAGCGCGCCAGTCCAAGGTAAAACGGGAGGAAGTCTCGAGCGGTAGCGCTGTTTTTTGGGGAGACGGCGGCTTTCGGCGGCGAGCAAGAGCACCGGCCCTGAATAAAAAAGGAAAAAGTCTCGAGCGGGAGCGTTGTTGTTGTTGTTTGGGGGCCCATTTTGGCGCCCCCCAAACCCGCTCGAGCGTGAACCTCATGTTCAATGAAAATGTAGCCGGCACCGAGGCCAGAGCGTCAAAGCCCCTGGGGGGTCCAACAATAATAACTGTTTAATAATTAACATTCAACAACAACAACAACAACAACAACAACAACAACAACAACAACAACAACAACAACAACAACAACAACAACAACAACAACGACGACGACGACGACGACGACGACGACAACAACAACAACAACAACAATAACAATAACAACAACAACAACAACAACAACAACAACAACAACCACAACCACAACCACAACAACAACAGCAACAACAACAACAACAACAACAACAACAACAATAGCAACAGCAACAACAACAACAAACATGTTACCCGAATGCTGTATGCTTCAATATGAAGAAAGCATTCATCATGATAGCTCCCCCTTTTAGGGGAATGTGTTCTTGCACGCGGGGGTCAGACATTCCCTCTCCCTGACCTCCCGCCCACAGAGGTCTTGACAACACCTATTCCGAAGCACTCCAACGCTTCCAGCCCGGATGGCACATCGCCTTCGCAATCACCTTTCCCAGGCCTTGCTTCTAGGTATCGCGAAGCCTGAGCGGCCTGAGACCTCAGGGAGGGGCCTCGCAACCTCTGGGAGAGCACCGTGGAAAGCCCCCAGAGCCACCGGGAGAAGCTTCAGAGCTGAGGCCCCTAGGCTCTCGATCCTTTCCCGGGATTGCTTTTACGTCGGCCGCTTTCTGATGGCGCTGGGGCTCGTCGTCGTCGTCGTCGTCGCCGTCGTCGTCCCTGTCCTCCTCCCCCACCTCGTCCACCTCCTCATCATACTCCTCGTCCTCCTCCTCCTCCTCCTCCTCCTCCTCCTCCTCCTCCTCCTCCGCCTCC